CGGGCTGACCTAACCCACCCCCATCATTTCATTTTTTTGTTTTACATTTTAAACGAGGAAGAGAAGGGGACAGTGATCGGACGCTTCAATCCGTACCCAAGCGATCCCAGCTGAACGTTTATGGACAAAAACAAAAACCCATAAGGAAATGGCAATGATCACCCGGTATTTTTCTAGAGCTCATCACAGAATCTCCAAGGGAGGGGGGGGTACAGGCTGAATTTCTGCGTTTGTCTGGGCCCTGGCTTCTCCATAACTGCAGTGTTTCCGCAAACAACAGGGCTATGCGCGCGCGTCTAAGGGATCTCAAACTCTGGCCCAGGAAAAAAAAACGGCCCACAGCCCCTTGCTCTGTGAACTTGCCTGTCAGCGTACGAATGCTTACAAATGAAAGGATTCCAGCTCATCTAGCATGCCTGCTCGCTAATGGATCAGAGGACCCCATCCAGCTGTTGATGACACTAACCACATCACTGCAAGGGACCCACATGTCTTCCGTTTATAACCGATTCTCAGTCCGGTTATCATCTTACATGCCCCCTGCCTGCAAAGTTTGGATTTTTATGCCCATGAATGCAATTCCTGTGTGTGGCATTCGATTGGCACTCCTGCTGGACTCCGAACAAGAATGCCGACAACTAAGGAGACCTCACTCCTTCCTGCTCGTTAGAGAAGCCCACCATAATTCCGGCTGATAGATTCCACTCATTTCTGAGGGGTATTCCCTAAGCAGGACAAGAAAACCGTGCCTTGATCTTTATCTATTGTTATTGACACTGGAGGAAATCCTCAATCTTCACATCAATATCCCATTATTGATACCAAAGTATATCACAGGAGAGCTGGACTAGTGGGCAAGTCTGTGGACTGATAACTGACAGGTTGTGGGTTCGAGTCCTCACTGCTGACACTGCTGTGGTACCTCGAGTGAGCTGCCTTTCCCCAGTATCTCCAGTCTGCCCAGTTTTACAAGTTGATGGAAAATCACGAGGCCTCTACTCTGTTTAACACGAAGGTCGCTCACAACAGAGAGGAATAGAATACATTAAAAATAAAAACAAATGGTTTAACCTGGTTGTTGCCAGAAGGTTCACTGTGACTGACTGGCAAAATAAATACAGATAAGATCACAGGTTAGCAGGGGTCTTCAGTCTTGACAGAGGAGGTTACAACTCAATACCTGAATATAAGACCTGGAAAGGTACTCAAGCCAGTTGTGTGGATTACATGATGCTCATCAGAGAAATGTGAACACAAGGCCACGAATGAGGAAGTGCGTTTAGGAGCGAGAACTCCAGCCCTTTTAACTTTACGCCAAGGGCGGTGGAGGTCTGGAACAGCCCGGCTCTTCGGGACCTTCAGGGAACAGCAGGATGGAGGGCCGTCGGCCAATTCTAGAGCGCGATGAGACTTCGAGCTGCACGTAATGACCGCGGCAGGAAAGAAAAAGAGTCTGGAGCTGACGAGACCGTGGAATTTCCCCCAGACTGGGGAGGTGTGGCTGCAAGACTCTCAAAGTCTGCTTCCATTCTCTTCTTTTCACTGAACTCGTCTCAGCCAAGCGCGACGGGAATCAGCCCATCCCTGACCTTCCACACTGCTTGGAAGAAAACAAGGACCCCCCCCTCTGCTCCCATCCCGATACCGGTCTCCTCCCATCTACATAATTCGAAATCACCCCCGTCAACTGTGCTCTCTCGCCCCCGCCTGAGCCTCTTCTGCTCGGCACTTCGTGAGGTTTAATGGAACAATCTGGCGTTATGAGCTGGGACAGTGTAAACACTGGAGGTTTTCGCCTAAGAGAGGGGATTAGAACCAAGTGCTTGTGAGGAATCTGCAAATCCACAATGACAGATATCGAAAAGGAGCTGTGTGGTCGGGGGGGGGGGTGATGAGAAAGAGGCGGACTTAACCCTTCACTCGCTGGAATCTTTTCACTGGTGTCCAGGACAGATAATGCCCCCACCTGTACCCTGTTCATATTTGACAGTTTATCCGGGATTGACGCCAATAACTGCCCTTCGAGAAAAGGTGTCAGCAAATTAAATCCACGGCAAGAACCGGCCTGCATCTGATATTTCTTGGCCCGGGGTCGGCAGGGAGCATCAGAAGACGATGTCACAAACTGCCCTCCCAGACAGCAGACAGACCACGTCGCAGCCCCACAACCCAGAACTGGCAGGTCGTTACACCTGAGCCTACCAGAGAGAGAAGATCCGGATTTTCCCGATTGCTCCAGGGCTGGAGAAGGTATTAGGTCTCCCAGTCGCGCGACTGCTTGGATCGGTCGCCTCACCTGCCGCTGTTAACTCTTACTCGGCTGCTGGCGGGGGAAACGTACCTGTGAGACGCGCGGGACTCCATCTCTTGAGAGCGCACCAGCCGCTGGGGTTGAGCTGTCCGGGGGGCGGCAAGGCGTGATGTCACATCCTGTGGGACGGAGCCACCTGGGGGGGGGCGCCTGCAGCATGGCCAAGTGCGTCTGGGAGCTCCGGCCCTTTAAGAAAAGCCAGCCAGTGATTGGTCGGGCCCAGGCCTGTTAGACGAGGGGGGTTAACTCCCTGGCCACCCCCTTGTTTCCTAAGGCACTGTAGATCAGCCCACCCTCAGGGTCCCGGGCCCTACCGGGGGGGGGGAAGAGTGAGAGGGCTGGCACCTCGCCCAGCCCTACTCAGCCTGGGGACAGTAGTCCGGCTGCCAAATGGACTGGAAAAATAACACTTGAATGCTAATATTTGGGAGAAGGGATTTGCAAAACTTGTGTGGGTTGTTGTTTTTTTGTTTTTTTTAATTGAGGAAAAACCCCATCTTTCTTTCTGGTATGTAAACTGCAAGATGCATTGTAATCGTCTTTTGTGGAAGACAACCCACCCGGGACAGCTAAGACACCCTTCTCTAGAAGGCAGCCGTGCAATTGTCCTGGCCAAATTTCTCCCCCTGGCCTTCTCCAATCATGACCTCCTAATTATCCCCCTCTCTGAACTGGCTCCATCACTCTGCTTTGGAATGCCTCTGTCACAGAGAGAACCGGGCACAATCTTGGCCTGACAGCACAGGTAGAGTTGCTACTCATCATTATCATCATCATGCACGCTCAGAACGGACTACATGGTGTGTTAGGTCTTTAGAAGAGCAGGACTCTGACTGGACGACTCCGATGTAAGGGTATTAACCCTGGAGTCCTGGCCAAATTTCCCCCTGGCCTTGACCAGTCATGTCCTCCCAATAAACGAAAGACGCCGCCTTTTTACAGTATAGTGTCCCCGTCACTATACTGGGGCATTAGGACCCACACAGACCGCAGGGTGAGCGCCCCCTACTGGCCCCACTAACACCTCTTCCAGCAGCATTGGCTGAGCTTCAGTGATACGACTGCTGGCAAGTTCTGATGTAGTCTTTCTCCCATGATGCCGTCGGCACGCATTCACTGCGGCTCGCCCGGCCCGCCTCGCCTCGGAAATCCCCCGCACGGCACCCGCGTCCCCTTGATCCGCGAGCCTCCCGGTGCTCGATTTCCAGTGGCAGGGCAGCACGTGAGACCACCCCACCTGGTCCTTCTCACAAGCGCCCCACTTTAACTTCTTCACCCCCCCCCCCGTGTGCGCGCGTGGTGTTATTTTTAGCTCCGCGGCTGTGCTGGACACAGGGGCCAGACCTTGGAGTGCGTATGTGTGCACAAGCAGGCGCCCCCCGCCCCCCAACTCCCGATCCCCACACACCACCCTTGGGGAGGGAGGAATTTCGAGCGTCAGGTTCTCTTTTCGGAATGGGACAGCTAAAATTAGCCACAGCTCTGCAACAGGGCCTGTTATCTCCCCTCCCCCCACCACACACCAATGGAGGAGGTCCGCTGAGCTCCCTCTGTCCGGCCTGTTTCTCCCGTCACCAGCTGTGCCTTGACAACTACCTTCTGCTCCACGCAGCACAGCTGCAGGAAGCTCTCCTAGAGGCAGGTGAGTTTCGAACCCAGGCCCTCTCACTACAGTGCCAAAGCCCATGGGGGCTGCTCGCCTTCTAGGCCAAAATGCTGGACGATGATAAGGAGCCCCACGACGGAGAAGGAAGATGGACACTCAGGGTGCTTACCGTGCTCTTAGCTACTGCGGGGAGAGAGCAGCCAATGTCCCGCGCTGTAGCTCAGCCTTTCTGTCCCGTTCTCCTCCGGAAAAGAAGAAAAGAAATCTCTCTACTGTCATTTCAGCCTGACCAGCTCACCCCCGCACAACAGATACTCTCTCCTCCGCTCAGGTGAAGCACCGGGCACTGGGACTGAGCCGGAGCGCCACACACTCCAGGCGCCCCCCACCTCCGCACGGACAGGAGACGCTGCAGGAAGACACCGCGACAATTAGTGTGGCAGCGAGGCAGCAGTGTGACTGAGGCAGAGCGACAGCGAGGCAGCACAGTGACTGAGGCAGAGGGACAGTGAGCCAGTGAGGCAGCAGTGTCACTGAGGCAGCGAGGCAGCGAGGCAGAGCGACAGTGAGGCAGCAGAGTGTCTGAGGCAGTGAGGCAGCAAGGCAGAGTGACAGTGAGGCAGCAGAGTGACTGAGGCAGAGCGACAGCGAGGCAGCAGAGTGACTGAGGCAGAGGGACAGTGAGCCAGTGAGGCAGCAGCGTCACTGAGGCAGCGAGGCAGAGCGACAGCGAAGCAGTGAGGCAGCAGTGTGACTGAGGCAGCGAGGCAGAGGGACAGTGAGGCAGCGAGGCAGAGGGACAGTGAGGCGGCAGAGGGACAGTGAAGTGGCAGAGTGACTGAGGCAGAGGGACAGTGAGGCAGCAGAGTGACTGAGACAGCAAGGCAGAGCGACAGCGAGGCAGCAGAGTGACTGAGGCAGCGAGGCAGAGGGACAGTGAAGTGGCAGAGTGACTGAGGCAGTGAGGCAGTGAGGCAGCAGAGTTACTGAGGCAGTGAGGCAGAGCGACAGTGAGGCAGCAGAGTGACTGAGGCAGAGGGACAGCGAGGCAGTGAGGCAGTGAGGCAGCAGAGTGACTGAGGCAGTGAGGCAGCAGAGTGACTGAGGCAGTGAGGCAGAGGGACAGTGAAGCGGCAGAGTGACTGAGGCAGTGAGGCAGCAGAGTGACTGAGGCAGTGAGGCAGAGCGACAGTGAGGCAGCAGAGTGACTGAGGCAGTGAGGCAGAGGGACAGCGAGGCAGTGAGGCAGCAGAGTGACTGAGGCAGTGAGGCAGAGCGACAGTGAAGTGGCAGAGTGACTGAGGCAGTGAGGCAGTGAGGCAGCAGAGTGATTGAGGCAGTGAGGCAGTGAGGCTGTGCTTCAGAGGACCGATCTGACTTCAGGCATGGAGACGCCGCCAGAGAGCAGCGAGGCTGGGGGCGCGGGGGGGCTGCGTCACCCCGACCCCCTGGTGAGGGAGGGCTACCTGTTGTCCTACGACTACATCAGCTACGTGACGGGGCTGGCGCCACGCTCCCGCCCCCCCCCCACGGAGGCGGCGGCCGCGCTGAGGCACGCCGGGGACGACCTGCTCCTCAAGTTCCCCATCTTCTTCCGGCGCTGGCCACGCCTCTTCCAGGGCGTCACCGCGGAGACCGCCTGCCCCACGCTGCTCCGCATCCTGGACGAGCACTTCCGGCCCCGGCCCCCCGGGGGCCGCCCCCGCGAGCTGGCCTGGAGCGCGGTGCTGTCCGTCTACGTGCTGGCGGGGCAGATGGCGCTGCACTGCCAGGACAGAGGCATGATGGGAGTGCTGCCCAGGCTGCAGCAGTGCGTGGGGGAGTACGTGGAGAGGGTGATCTGCCCAGCGATCCGGCGGCAGGGAGGCTGGGTGAGTCTGCTGCCTCTCCGCGGGACTCTCACGCTCACCCGCAGACCGCCGAATGACACTCCTTCACCAGCTCGCTACGCACAAAAGCACGAACGCTGCCCCATTCATTCGAATAATACACCAGACTGCGCTGCTAACTGTGGCTGAAAATGCTGACCGACACATTTGTCATCCCCCCCGACTCGACTACTGTTACGCTCTGCTCCCTGGGGTTTCTAAATCCACACTGAACAAACTTCATTATGTCCAGAATTCGGCAGCCGGAACCCTGACCAGGTCTAGTGCAAGTGATCACGTGACTCCTATCCTGGAGTCCCTGCACTGGCTTCCCGTCAAGTTCCGTGTCGACTTCAAAATCCTCCTGCTCGCCTATAAGGCTCTGC